AGATGGAGGAGGTAGATTTAACATCCTTAGCAGGATGTTGGGATCTTTGCCATCAGCAAAGGAGGAATGCAACAGGTCAATACAAGAAAGTCAAGCCTGGCAAGGAATTTTAAATGCATGAAAATTGAAACATAATATAATAGCTGGTGGATAACTCTTGATCAGATAACCAAATTGCAACATCACATCAGATGGCACAGCTACTGAAAAGTGAGTGTCTCAAATCAGGCATCACCAAGGCCTCTATCTCACATGTCTGTTTGTGCTGACAAGTTGTTGTTTCCTATAAGATGATGTATTAAGGGAAAAGATGCAGCATATACTCCATTTCAATTTAGAATTGAATTTGCAACCTCAGCATGAACATGAAACCACTGACTGGATGCCTTCATGTTGTTCCCTTCCAAAGTATCCATCTGCTATCGAAGTGCAAGAGAGTGATAATGGCCATGGGGCAAAAGCTAGATGGGGTTACACTGAGTTGCATTTTACTTAAGCCTCACATACCTACCCAACTAGGTCAACTGAAGGTTTGGTGTCTAACTGCATAATTTTTCTGGATTAGCATGAGCAGGGACCTTTTTTTTTTATTGAATGTTCTCCCTTCCTTTCCCCATGAAGCCTTGGCACAAAGCATAGGCATAGATAGGACTGCGGGGGTCAAATGTCCATGGGCAACCTGCTGAGCACCAAGGGAGGTATTCTGCAATAATGGACTAGACTAAACTTGCCCTAAAATTGCAACCAGAGTGGCAGGGGGCAAAGGGCAATCATTTTCCTTTTTTTTAATTCCATTGGCTTTGACATCTCAACATGTGGTAAATCTGTCTGGCCTGTCCAGCCATTGGATGCAAAAGAGATGAGATGAGATGCAAAGAGGTGTAAGGATGTGGATCAGACATGATATGCCTATCCCTTTGAGTAGTCATTATAATAAAAATGGCTGACTAATTACATTTTCTTTTCCAATGCGCAAGATTTGTCTCTTCTTGCTTATGACTTAGTTTCTGCCTGCTACTTTTGTTTTCTCTTGAATAAGAATCCTCTATTTAGGTGATCAATCTCGTGAAAGTGCTCAGAATGGAGGGGAGAAGATACCAAAAAGACTTCTTCCATTCTAACATATGTGGAAGTTTTCTTTATGATTTGCAGCATCCATCAGGAGAGCTCTCTGTGAAAAATCATGTGACTACTACTAATTGCATATACCATGAGCTCCAGTATTTTATTTGAGAACTAAAATCGAGAGTATAATACTTTCTCATGACTCTTACTGTGGCATGGTTCCATCAGTCAAACTTTGAAGTTGAAATATCCATGTATTAATGGATGATGTGAGATTATAAATTTTTTGCACCTGCCCACCTTGTTAACAAAATCAATTTTGCCAAAAGGAAACAGCTTGCAGAGAAATTTCAATAGAGGTAGATTTGACCTAGTTGGAGGAGTGCTACAGATGCAGTTTTTACTTCTTTCATAAAGAAACTGTTGGAATGGATGGAAAAGCAATAGAAATTACTTATGCTGTTGTTTTGTTGCAGCTTTCAACCATCACCACCGGTGTCCCAGGAGAGCAAGAGTTTTCCTTCCAAGGAAAATTCTAATTATAAGTCGTGAAGCAGTCAAGTTTGTTCATTTCTCTATGTATACATGTATTGTATAGTACTGAAAAAAAGCATTGCACTGACATGCATGTGAATTGCATAAAAGACTTATTTGTTTTTTTTTTCATGCATGCCAAAATGCATAACCAGTGCTGTTAGTTTTCATAATGAAACTGAGTTCATGTAATCATACTAAAACATGATCCATCTTCCATACCTTCACTGAATTACAGTCATGAATGGCTGAACTTGATGTGAACATGAAGCATGTGATAGAGATCATGTTAGGATGACAGATGCAGATATTAGGGCACACTAGGTTTTCCAGCAGATAACCAGGCACCTGTGATGAGCACTCAGAAATAAATGCCTGGCACCAATGCAAGGTGGAGTCCCAGAATAACATGGTTGCACATTCATATATCAATAAATCTTCCTGTTCCCATTACTATTAGTCACGAATATAAATGGCCATTTAGAGTGGTGAAGTATTGACATCTATTCCTACTCCTGTACCAAAAAAAAGCACATAATTTGGCTTCTTTCCCACTGCATCAAAAAAAGCACACAATTGAATGAAACCAGCACCAAACTAAACTGAATTGATGAAAGTGGTTGTGTACCAAGTGTGCATGTGATTAATGCTCATGTAATAATACATGGCCTGAAAAATCTGAGCATTCCAAGTCCAACAGGAGCATTGTGAAGAATGTAGATCAAAACTTCACTATTCAGTCCAAATTGTTTCATTTGTTCATGTCAATGTCCAATGCCTAAAAGTGACAATTTTATGTTCTTCACTATTTCCAGAGGATCTGAGTCAGACGATCATGTCAACCTAAACCTTCATCAGCAAAATGTCATTGCCTATAATGAATGAATGGGAATGTTATCCAAAACTATTCAAAATTAATAAACACAGATGTGTTGAAAGTTAATCAAGTCATCAAAATTACTTGGAATTGTTTTGTAATGCAATAAGGAACCTCTATGCAAACAGTGAAGTGTTTTTCCAGCAGGTTTCCATCGAGGTCAGGTGACCCCAAGTAGGAACTCCTCTTTAATTTTTACCTATTGGACCAAGGACAGAGTATACAGTACAAAGTCATGAACTGTGGAGGAGCTGCAGGAAAAACTTGTTCAAGTCATCAGCATACCGGTTGAAACTTGTGCTTGTGTCATACATTTGTGTGCCAATGGTGTGTCAAATTGAACCACCCATTTATAACCTCAGATTGCTAACTTTGTTGTGGATTGACTATCTGGTTTCTCAACCAAAAGATGCATTATGAAAACATGGCATGAAGGTACGAGTGTCATTAGGTACCAATGACAAAATAAACTTTTCTCTCAAAGCTGGAATAACATTATAAATGAGTCTTTTCATTGTACTGGGAGAGTCTCCCTCAGCCCCTCACTAGCAGTGAAAGCAGCAAAAAAAATTAAATAAACCAACAAAAAGAAAGACTTGCATTTGTAATGGCAGTGAACTGCCATTACAAATAAATGGTTAGATGCAGTATGGGGTTCGTTCCCAATTGTAAACTGGAGAGGTTACATTTTCATAGCCAATATGTCATGCTGACAACAGACCATTAACTATCCTGATATTCAGATGAAATTCTCAATTGGTGAAGAAGACCTTTGGGATTATTTGCATTACAGCTTATATTGCCAAGAAAACATATTGATTGAATTGGTTTTTTTATTCTGCCTTTTGGCACTCATAATTTGAACTACTTTGCAAGTCAATGGATGAATGGAATGCAAGGCAGATAATAAAAAAAAATTGGTTTATGCATAGCTAGCTTCTTCTTACACTGTGTTTGGATTGAATTCATGCCCCCCCAAAGAAGAGTACTTTCATCTATTGCAAATCTTCCACTCGATCGAGTATCAGGGTTGGTTTCACACATCAATCTTATGAAGAGAGCTGTTTTCTCTGCTTCCCATTAGGAATATATAACTCTCTTGGGGGGGATAAAGAATTTCAGTACAAATACAGTGTGTGTGTGTGCCTTCACATGAATTATTTATTCTCTTAGGGGGAGGAATGAGGTGAGGAGCAAATAGGATGGTAAGAATTTGAAATTCCCAGACATTAACAAGTAATACAAAATCTACAGCTTGCAAAACACAAAAACTGGAAGCATCATAGAATGCTGCTAAGGCTTGCAGTGGTATTAAACTGGGAGGGGGCACATGGCCTCACAAAGCCAAGTAAAAAAAAAAGTAAGGTGATACATGAAATGCACAGGAAATTTTTGTAATTTGGCGTGCCCTCGAAAGAAACAGAATAGTATAAAACTATAAACTGCAAGATTTTTCTCCCTCTTGTTCTGAGAATTTACTAGCAGGTAGGTTTGGGTAGTAACTCAAGCCTTTATGAGAACAAATATTATCAAATGCCAATAACAAAATAACTATGATGTCAAGTGCCATATTTATGGATGTCAAGAACGGGAGGAAGCTGCTCGGAAAGTTTGCACTCAAACGTCGAGGGACAACATAGGACAAGGTTGGGAAAGGTCAAGATTCTGCATTTTACGAAGAGGCCATCAGGATTCCTGAATCTGGAAAGGGATAATGGAACAGATGTCTTATATTCTTTATTGGGAGAAATGAGCAATCAGTTGCTGCATCCATGACCTGTAAAAGATTCATTAAAAGGGAGAGCATAATATACATACTCAAACCTCAACGAGAGAGGGGGCTGGAGACTTCCCAGATGAATGATTCCTGGCTCAATTCAAAAAAGAAATCCCACCGTGTTGCACAAATGCACCTTTTTCTTCATTTTGCACGAAGCACAACAATACGGTGTGGTTCATTCGTGCATGGGACGTTCCTCATGCACGAGTGTCAAGTGAAAATTTGTCTGACCCCCAGTGACAAACAAACACGGCAAAAAAGGTCTTCAAGAGCTCACGAAGAAGAACACTAGACAAATTTGAAACGATCGCCGATGACGATCCCTCGGCCTAGCCTAGAGGCCATCATTCCCAGAATAGAAATGCTTAATCAGCCTGAACGTGAACCTACAGACAACAAAGGAAGCCGGGAACCTCACCATGAAGACTATTCGAGGGCCGAGTGGAAATCCAAATAATGAAAGGGGGGAAAAATAAAAGCGGAACGACTACGATTACGAAATTACGAGAACTTTCTCGAGCGCCTCGAGTCCCATTCCTGCCATGGCAACGAGCAGACGACCCACTCTGATTGGTTGGAAGAGCCGTGCCGTTTAACAGAGACCTCCTTCGTTATCCTTCCGCTTCCCGCGGGCTCCGCAGTGCGGTGTCATACATGGAGTTGCGGGAACCTAAGGAGCTCCATGAGGATCGAACCGCGAAGGACACGCTATTCCAAGCCACGTGCGCCATGCCACTCTCTCCCCTCTTGCCGAGATCCAGACAGGAATTTTCTGGAACATTCTGAGATTTGGAATTGCCTGGAACCATCTCGAACGACTGGGTTCGTGCTATAAATTCGGCTCGCAGCGAGGACCTATCACATTCGAACGAGAAGTCCGAGTTGGTGAGAGCATTCGACGAAGGCCAAGCCCACCAAATCTCGAGTGCATATCATTGCATCTCTTCTGCAAGCTCATCCAAAACCAATCGTAAGTGAAGCGTAATATTTTCCGAGGACACAACTACTGTATTTTTAAAAAATGTCTCTCTTCTATGAAAGTTTGTGAATTTCCGTAAGCCTTTCAGCATCAGTAACGATATCGTCTCCTGCAACTAGACAATGGCCATGTTCCGATGGGGAATGTCCCCTCGACGCGACTGGTGGGGGGAAGTGGACCCGGTCACTCGCCTCTTCGACCAAAACTTCGGCTTGGGCTTGGGGGACGACGACCTCCTTGCCCCGGCCACGTTTCACCCCTTTTACATCCGGCTCCGGCGACCGAATCACGAGAGGCTCAAGTCGGGCGTGAGCGAGGTGGTCAACGATAACGAGAAATTTCAGGTAGACTAACCCATTTTTGCTGCTTTTTTTTCAAATCCGGCCACAACTTGACAGATCTTTAGTAGACACTGCTCGGTACGATCAATCCAAACGGTACCTGCCATGAGCTCGACAGAGGTTTTCCCCCCCTCTCACAGCTGAAACTAGACGTACAGCAATTCGCCCCCGAAGAGATCCACGTGAAAACCGTGGAGAACTCCGTCGTGATCGAAGGCAAACACGAGGAGAAGCAAGACGATCACGGCTTCGTCTCCCGCCACTTCCTGCGCCGCTACCTCCTCCCCCCCCACGTACGACCGGAGGACATCCAGTCCTCCCTCTCCTCCGATGGCGTCCTCATCGTCACCGCTCCCAAAATGGTCACATTTCCCTGATCCACCATATTTTTATGCTCGCTTTTGACGTCGGCTTCCCGGCCTGATCGACCGCTGACTTTGAACATTAATTACAGGCGATCGAGAATGCTCCGAACGAGCGCGTGGTGCCCATCGCCCAGACCAATCAGCCGGCGATGATCAAGGAGAACCAGAAGAAAGAATAAGAATCTCTCCCATATTTTGATCTCGGGCATTCCTGTTACAAGTGAAAACTTATGGTTCGAGAGTGAAACACGGCCCTACCCTTCGTTACCCTACCCATTACCTACCTCTCCAGTGCGATTTGTGTTTTTCTGTACCCTAGAAAATTGTGAATGTCTTGTTTTTTCTTCCCAATCTCAATATAAGGCGTGTTCGTAGTCAGTCGATGACGTTTTTCATTTCATGCCCAACCAAGTCTGAATGGAAAAGGGAAGTGCCATATCCAAACTGCACGAAGTACAAAGAGACTCGGGTTTTTGCCGCTGTAAAAATAGCAGCATGGTCGAACAGTGACCTTCCAATATGCTACATAATCTTCGCGGTATCGTAGAAACGTAACAGGATCTCATCACCGCAAACATTTCCCTTAGAAGAACAGGGTGAAAAGTCATCACTTTACTCTTCTTACGGAGAAGAAGAAACAAAAAAATGAATAATACAAGGGTACCTTTTTCCCACCAATGGAATTCGAGTCCAGACACGGGTGAGTCTTAACGAGATGTCGTCTCTCAGGCGACGAATCCAACCGTGCATCCACCATCAACGTTCTGACACTGACACCATAACCGCACCAAAGCCACAAAAAAGAAATGCACACTGCCACGACCAACCGACAGTGGAGACCTCAGGCGGCATCGGGGACGATATATATCAATAACTCCAGTTTAGTTCTGCCCCGGGCCGCTGGAAACCTCTGGTCAGACCTGATGGAGACGACGGGTAGGAAAAAAAAAATGAAAAAAGGGAGCTCCTCCCCGTCTGGCTTTGCTTCCCCGAAGGCAAGTCTAGCCATGTGATGCCCTCCACTCAACCCCCATCCGCGCAACCGGCGGAAACGGCCTCCCAGGCAGAGCGTCCGCGTGCCGTCCGGGAGGTTGGGGTTCGATTCCCCAACCGCGCCTCACCCATGCGTTATATTGGGTACACGTTCCTTCCTTCTCCCCGGGTTCCAGACGCTCGTTCCCGGCTGATTCAACGAGAAGGGAGGAACGTGGGAAGTACATGGGCCGTTCTGGCCCATTATTTTCTTGCTAACTTTTTATTCGTTAAGAATAAAAGTTCATCTTTTCCTACAGTTCATCAAGGGAGCCTTCCACCAAGGAATGATGTCGCTGCAGCAGCGACTCACGCGACATCTATGCTTCGGTAGTGGGAACGCTTGTTGGGCCGAGTAACTGCCAGGTGTCTAGCCTCGTGCTCCTCTTCCGAATAAGAGGAATAATGTGCAAGGCACTTGCTAGAGGAATGGCTAAACGGTCTTAGGTTTTTTTTACCTTATGTTGAGTCTCTTCTAAGTCAGCTTCACAAAAGGAGGGGCATTTCCTAAATGCTCATCCTCCTGAAAAATGAAAACTTCCTAAATGAAAACTTTCTACTTTCTTTTTCCCTTTCCTTTTTGCAGTAGCACATCTTAATCTTCTGACGTCTTTGGCATGAAAAATATGCTAATTATCCTCATTGATTTGCATTTCAGGCTTTTGTTCCTAGCAATTTCAGTTTCTTTTTCTTCTATTGATTTATCGTGGACTTCAGACTCATACGTCTTTAAGCCATATTTGAAGCTCGTTATCGAGATTTGTCGAATTTCTGCAAAAACGGACTTGCAATAATTCACTATCAAATATTGTAAAACTATTTCAGTGATTTAAAAAAAGTAAGCCATTAATTTTGGTATACTGGAAAACTCATTTGTATGCCGCTAAATTGCATGTCCTCCAAGAGCTGTTAAAATCCTGCGATCAAAACCTCAAGAGTGGGACGTCTCGAACATATTAGACAAAATTCATTCAAATTATCGAGTCAACTCGTTAAAAAATATGGATTTTTACCGAAAAATTAAATAATTTTTTAATTATTTATACAATAATTAAAGACATTCATTTGGCGATGTTGAGACACATTCGCATAATTATCATAATTTGGCTCATAATTATCCATGTTTTTAATATTTTATGGTGAATTTTCAGCAATTATTCAAGTAAAATATCACTGATTTTTCATTTCCATTTAGAATAAAACGATGGAAGATGCAAAGCATCGCTCGATTGGAAGCACTTCTTTAAATATATATATGAAAAATTTATTTTCCTACTTTCGTCATGAAGGGAAGAAGGACTCTCTTCATCTACGAACATTGACTCATCTCAATGCAATGCTTGAACAGACTTCGGGGAGGGGAGGGGAGGGGAGGGGAGGGGGGGGCGGTTGAGAAGGGGAGCTAATCCTGATCCTCTCCACTCCCTGGAAAAAGGTGTGAAAGCGTATAGGAGGGAGATAAAATAAAAATAAAAAAACCTACATGACCCCAGAGCAATTGTTATTTGAGAACAAATTCCAAGAAGCGTTCAGAGAGTGGAATCACCTCATCCTGCAACACGGCCACAATGAAAAGATTTCCTGCAAACTGTTTCGGTCGCAAAGTACTCTTTCCCGATGAAGCTGCCTTCGAATTAGATGAAGCCTTGTAGCCCTGGTCCCTTGTAGCCATGGTCGTGTTCACACGGAGAGCAGTAAGTCACAGGTGACAGAAAGAATACTCATGCAACGCTTGGGGCACGTTAATAAGAATACACACGGTTGAGTTTCCGTAGTCCTCTGAGAGGTTAAAGTCGAGATAGAGAGACCTCCAAAGGTGTCTTTATTTTCTCTTTCTTTTGAGTCGGGATGAAGTCGAAATATAGCCGAAATAAAGTTAGAGAAAAGCTAAAGAAGTTTCGTGAAAAAGGCCCCAGGAATCTGCCTCGAATTGAGAATAATACATGAGGAAGTGTCCGCTTCTATTCCATAAGGCAAGGCGAGACGCAGGAACCAGCTGACATAACGTACCTTTGAGGGAGATTCCTGCTAAAGAGGGAAGGGCTATTCTATGTACTGTGGAAATCGGCAGCTCCATAACTCCATCGAGTGGTCTAAAGAGGAACTACACAAATAACCCTTGTAAATGGTCTTTCACTCGCATCTGCACCTTTTCTACTATTTAGCCTCGAAAAGGTTAAAACCTGAACTCTGTTTGATGACATCTGATTCCAATGAAGAATCATTGGGGATAAATATTCAGCCTCCAAAAAAGATGGAAAATTTTCCTTCTTTTTCCTGCGATAATTTAAAAAATTCTGCAGAGGTTCAATAAACATCTAAATAACCCTTTGAGATACACATTTTGCGATGAGTGTAAGGTCGTTGGGATGAAATAACTGCTATAACAAAAAAATGTATACTGTAAATGACGAGAGAAAATTTTCTATTTCAAAACATTTCCGAGACAGTTGATAATTGGTCTCATACTGTTCATTTTTAAGGAATGGGCTGAAGTTGAACTTGTTTTATTTCTCAGAACATTTCAATGAAGTTGATCAAATCACATGGCATCAAGATCACTAAATGTCGCAAAAATGAATGAGTCTTTAATCTGACCCGAACATAACAGGATGACGCTTTTCTGCCTTTGCCAAATCTGGGGGTCTTATTTCCGGGTGGCTTTTTTCCTAAACCCCTATAATAATAATAACTATAGCACAGCTTAGCTTTCCTTGCTTTGCGAAACGCAAAGATGTCAATGACATGATCAAAATCCACATTCTTTGCCGCTTGATATTATCTTCACTGCTAAACACTTTTTTTTTCTGTGCCTCATTCGCCTTTCGCTTGCTTCGCCCCCCTCCTTTCTCGGCGCCCCCTTCCTCAGGTGGCGCCTGGGGGCAGATGCCCCCCCCCCCCTTATTTACGGCCCTGAAGAAGAACTATCCTCGAAAATGAGAATTACTTTTTGTTCATGCAAGGCTTGATGCGATGAGGCCATCGACTGACAACTGCTGGAAACCTACCTTACTTCAGGTGTGGAGAGAGTTTACTTCTGTGTACACGTACAAGACTTGCTTCTACTTCAGGATAAAATCAAGATTGTCTTTTTTTTTAAGGCTCAAGATAAAACAACAGGATCGTTCATGCTGCACCTGCCACTCATTTTCATGCTTGTGATTCTGTGAAGAAGTCATTAACCAAGAATGCAGACAAACTGCTGAACTTGATGTGAATATGGAACAAGCAATAAGGAAGAAATTGAGATATACACAAAGCACGTGCACTAGTTTTCTGCATCAGCTGCCATTTCCTCAACAGATAAATGGCATCTGTGGCGAGCGATCCCCTCAGAAAAAAACGCCTTGTGAAGTGCTACATACAATTAACGCCCAGCACGGTTGAATTTCCACGCCGAATTCGCACGAAGCACTGTAATGTAATGTCGGGTGACGTCCCTGTTTAAATTTTTCGTTGCATTGCAGGGATTAACATTCCGGCATTTTCTTAGCTGCCATCAGTCTTCGTCAAAGGCTCGTGTCATCACACGAGACAAATGTGAACCGGTTCCAAAAAAAAAAAATACTTGTAATTCCTCCACCTCTGCGTTCTTGCAGCATCCAATTAGACCCACGCTTGCCGCAGCCCAGCAATTGGCAATCATCCACGACACAGAAACGATTGCAACGGCTCACCTCTCGTCTCGCGTCAGCTGAAGGCGACTGAATAAAACCGTCTACTTTTAAAGAAAGCTAAAAACCCAGCCGTAAAGAAAACACAACGGTCGGTTGGGAATCGAGTAAAGAAACGGAAAGAAGTTTCTCGAGCCCCACGACCCCATTTCCTGCCACGGCAACGAGCAGACGACCCACTCCGATCGGTCGAAAGAACTGTGGTCCTTCCATAGAGGCCTCCTACTCCACGATCCCTCCGCTTCCCGCGCGGGCTTCACCGTGCAGTGTCATCGATGGAGTTGCGGGGGACGCATGCGGTTCCACCGAACCGCGAAGGACGACGTGATTCCAGGCCACGTCCGTGTGGCTTTTCCCCCTCGCGAGTCCTCGGCGGAACTTTCGAGTACGTCCGACCCATCGACCAGCCCGGAACGTGCTCGAACGACTGGATTCACGCCATGAATCCGGAACGCAGGAAGAACCAAGCACACCAGTCCGAGCAAGCCATCCGACGCCCGCTCAGCTGGAGCAGAACCCAATGGAGCCTGGCGGACCCGTGCCTCCCTGGCCTTGCCTACCGATTCGCACGTGCATCGCCTCTCCCTTCAAGCGGCCGATTCGCATTCGGTATTTCCTCTGCATCGATGGGATCCTCATCGCCACCGCTCCCAAAACGGTGA